CGAACACGGGACGTGCTGCGTTTCGAGTCGGGCGCAGCGAGGCAACGAAGCGCAGCAGGCATCGGCCCGCCGACTGCAAGCCAAGAGGTGGGCCCCCGGGGCCCACGGGGCAAGGCCGCGGGAGGCCGCGCCGTGCTCTCCGGAAGCCTGGCCCTGCCCGCGAGGCCGCCGTGCCAAGCCCGCGGCTTCCTCCCCCTCGCCTTCCCTCGCCTCCGCCTCCCTCCGCCTCCTCCTCCGCCGCCCCAGCCGAGCCTCCATCTGCCCCTTCGCTCCTCCTCCTCCCTCCCGTCGTCCCCTCTTGCTCCTGCCGGCCTTCCAGCCGCCTCCTTCTGCGCTTGGACAAGGGCCCCCCCCCACCAAGCCGTCAATGATAACGACGAGGATGAGAATAGCACGGATACCAAACATAGTAATAGTGACGCAAACATCGAGAAGAACAACAATGATAACTAATACGACTAGTCCTAATAATTGTACTAGCAACAACACGAATAACAACAATAAGACTGCAGGCGCTACGAAAAATACCACCATTACGAATAAGGATGATATGCTTGATGAAAATAGGATCAAGAATAATGATAATAACACGACTGCGAATACGAATCAGTGTGATCGTGGCTGAAATATTACGCACATGAACGACAGCAACCACAATAGTAATCATGCGTTAGTGCTAGCAGCAAGAATAACACTGATAACCATACAAATAATATCATTACTGATACGAAGACTGATGGTAATAACAAGGGTACGAATGTACGGAACGATGCTAATGGTAATCATACGCTGACCCCCTGTGGATCTCTGGGCTCGTGAGATCCTTCCCCCCGTGATCCCCCCCGCCCGGGGACCCCAAACTGGGATCTTCCCCCCTTCCTCCCGGGCCCTGGATGACCCCCGACCGAACTCAGCAGGGGGAGTCTGACCCGCCCTGGGCTCCCTTTGGAGCTCCAAGACAGCTCCTGAGGTCTCCCAAGGGACCCCCAAGACGGTCCCGGAGGGCCCCCAGTCGCCGAAAGATCGCCCCATGACGCCCAAGGTGGCCTCCAAGCAGCCCAGGATGGCCTCCAAGACGCCCCGAGAAGCCTCCAAGTCTCTCCAGCAAGGCGAGAAGCTTGCTCCCCGGAAAAAGGGCTCGCTCCCTGGTGAACGGTCTCGTTGCCCGGTGGCAATTGAAAAAGCTGCGAAGGGTTCGTTCACCGGCAGAAGGCTTTCAAGGGAGAGTTGCACGGATCAGCATCCCAACGACATTCCAAGAGCCATGAAACCTCCATGCGTTGCCTTGAGGGAGGTCGCTTGCCCCCGACACGCCCCAAAGAGGCCCCCAAGAGGCCAAAAGAGGCCCCAAGAGGCCTCCAAAAGGCTCCAAAGATGCGCTCAAGAGGCTTCAAAACTGAACCCAAGAAGTCCTGGAGAGGCATCCTAAGACACCCTAACCTGAATCCAAGAGGTCTCTGACCCGCATCCCAGGCACGGTGGCAGGATGGGCCGAAGGCCTTTAAACCTGCTTGGCACAGGGACGGAAACCGCTCGTACTCTGTGAGGGCGCGAGATCGCACTATGGCCTCTCTGGGCCTTCTCGGGGGTCCTTTTGGGACTCCTTTGGGACGTCTTGGGGTCCTCTTTGGCCGTCCTGGTGCCCTCTTGGGCCGTCTTGGGGGGCTTGGGCCGTCTTGGGGCCCTGTCGGGAATCTCTGGGGCCCTCTTGGGGACCTCCTGTGGCCCTCTTGGGGCTCTCTTGGCAGCCTTTTGAGGCCCTCAAAGGCCTCTCTTGGGCCATCTTGGGGCTCTCTTGGACCGTCTTGGAACCGTTTGGGGCCGTCTTGGGGCCGTCTTTGAATCTCTTGTGCCGTCTTGGGGCCATTCTGGGGCATCTTGGGCCGTCGTGGACGCTGTGGAGACCAAAGAAGCAGATATGCTAAAAGATACGTTGTCCTTCGGGAATAGGAACAGGTTTGCCTCTAGGGCTTGTGGAAGCCTCGCGGAGCGTATTGAGGGCCTCTTTGGCCGCCCTGCGCGCTCTCGGGCCGTCTTGGGGCCCCCTTGGGCCTCCCTGAGGCCGTCTTGGAGGTATCCTGGGCGCTCTTTGGGCTGTCTTGGGCCATCCTGGGGCCCTCTGAGGCGCTCTCAAGGCTACCTTGGGCCATGACCGAAACTTGGGCGATTAGACCTGGGGCCGCCGAGACCAACCCCCTCACACTCCCCCAGGAGGGAGGGAGGAGGAGGAAGGAGGGAGGAGGGAGGAGGAGGGGGTAGAAGGGAGGAGAAGGGGGTGAGAGGGAGGAGGAGGGGGTAGGAGGGAGGAGGAGAGGAGGAGGGGGGGAAGGAGGGAGGAGGAGGGAGGAGGAGGGGGGAGGAGGAGGAGGAGGAGAGGAGGAGGAGGAGGAGGAGGAGGAGGAGGAGGAGGAGGAGGAGGAGAAGGAGGCCTCCTGGTCCACGTATCGGGACGCTAGGCGCGCTTGCCGTCATCCGCCGCCCCCTGCTGATTTATCGCAGGGGTGCCCGGCGTGCTGATCTGTTGGTCGTATTGGGTTGTGTCTGAAACTCCCCCTGGGGCTTCGACCCAGCGAGCCGGCCACCCGGAGAGCCTCTCAAGATCTACTGGTCAATGCATTTCCTGCTCTAAGAAAACCCGAGATGGCCTTCAAGACGGCCAAGATGGCCCAAGATGGCCTCCAAGACGCTTCCCGGACGGCCAAGATGGTCTCCAAGAGAGGCCAAGATGGCCCCAAGGTGCACTCAAGACGGCCAAATACGCACCCAAGACGATCCAAGATGGCCCAAGACGGCCCACGAGGCCCCCAAGAGGCCTCCTAGACGGCCCAAGAGGCCTCCGAGAGGACATACAAGAAGGTCCGAAGAGGCCCAAAGCATTGATTTGCCTTGTTGTTCGGTGATATTTTGGTATTTGTCCCTTTTCTGCGTCCGACGGTCTAGGACAGCCCAACAGACCTCCACGGTGGCCCCAAGATCGCCGAAGAGGCTTCCAGGATGGCCTCTATGACGGCCCAAGAAGCCCCAAGACGACCCCAAGAGGGCCCCAAGAGAGCCCAAGAGGCCCCCAAAGACGCCCAAGATGGTCTCCAAGACGGCCAAGATGTCCTCAAGAGAACCCAAGATGGCCCCAAGATGTCTCCAGGACGGCCCAGGATCAATGCAAGACGGCCTAAGATGGCCTCAAGATGGCCCAAGACGGCCCAACAAGCCCCCAAGAGGCCTCCAAGACGGCCCAAGAGGCCTCCAAGAGATCATACAAGACGCCCCGAAGAGGCCAAAAATATTGATTTCCTTCAGGCTGTTGAAGAATTGTGGACGGCCCCGACGGCCCAGGACGGCCCAACAGGCACTCAAGATACCACCAAGATCGCCCAAGAAGCTACAAAGATGGCCTAATGGCAACCCAAGTGGCCCCTAAGACGGCCCCAAGAGGGCTCAAAGACGGCCCAAGAGGCCTCCGAGACGCTCCAGATGGCCTTCAAGACGGTCAAGATGGCACCCTGAGAGCAAAGAAGACCCAAGATGGCCTCCAAGACGGTCCCCAGACGCCTCCGAGACGGCAAAGATGGCCCCAAGACAGCCCAAGATGTCCTCCGGGCTGCCCAGGAAGCCCCGAAGACGCACCAAGTGTGAAACGAGAGGGCTTCCAGGAGGCCCAAAGCATACATCGTCAATCGGTTTTCAATGATTTTAGCGTTCTCGCCTTTTCGGGCTTCCGACGCTCCCAGACGGGCCCATAAGCCCCCAAGATCGCCCCGAGACGGCTCCAGGAGGCCACTTGCTGGATGCCTCTGGGGGTCTCCTCGACTGCCTCCCGGGGGCCTCGAGGCCTGTTGGGACCTTTTGGAACCCTGCTGACGGGCTCGGGGGTCGGCCCCGCCACGATCCGCGCTGGCGGCGCCGTATGGGACTGAGCCTTCCCAGGCAGCGCCTGCGCGAGTCGTGACGTTCCCCCCCCCTCCTCCGGCATCGCCCGCTGCGGCTTGGGGAATGGAAAATTGTCGAGGAGGTCGGAGAGTGCGAGGCGGGGATTTGTCCACATCCGCCGCCTGGGAACCGACGCCCTGATGCCCCAGCGGGCGGCGGATATGTATGTATATGTGTATATGTGTATATGTGTATATATATTTATATATATATATATATATATATATATATATGTATACATATATTCTGGCCCTGGGGGCCCGAATATGTCCATATCCACCGCCTGCCGAGGTCCCCGAACATCGATCCTCCAGGCGGCGGTCATGTATAAATTCCAGCCTCGGAGAGACAGACGCCGCCGGAGGGGGCCGCCGTTCTCCGGCTGCGACGGCGCCCGGAGCTCGACGAACAGGCCGCCGGGGGACTGCAGCCGCAGCGGCGCGTCCTTAGCAGCTGGCGGCCCGGCGCCGGCTCCGACCACGCGCGGGGGCCGTGGGTCCTCCTCCTTCCACGTCCTGCACCTCCTCCCACCTCCTGCCTCCTACTCCCTCCTCCCCATTCTTCTCCTGCTCCTGCTCCTGCTCCTGCTCCTGCTCCTGCTCCTGCTCCTCCTCCTCCTCCTGCTCCTGCTCCTGCTCCTGCTCCTCTTTCTTCCTCCTCCTCCTCCTCCTCCTCCTCCTCCTCCTCCTCCTCCTCCTCCTCCTCCTCCTCCTCCTCCTCCTCCTTGCCATCCTCTTCCTCCGCCGCCTGCCCCCTGTGTACCTCAACCTCCTCCACATCCTGTTCCTGCTCCTGCTCCTGCTCCTTCTGTTCCTGCTGCTCCTGCTGCTGCTGCTGCTCCTCCTCCTCCTCCTCATCCTCCTCCTTCAGCTCATCCTCCTCTTCCTCTTCCTCCTCCTTTTCCGTCTCATCCTCATCTTCCTCCTCCTCCCAGCCTCTTTCTGCTTCTCCTCCTCCTCCTCCTCATCCTCCTCCTCTTCCTCCGCCGGCGGTGATTCGCCGTAGGCGTCTTCGATCAGAAGGAGGTGAACTGTGACCCCACCGCCATAAGCTACAACGCTGGGATCAGCGCGCGTGAGAAGCTTGGTCATTGGCAGCGGGCGCTGGCACTGCTCACCGAGCGAAGTTGAAATCCAGCGTCATCAGCCACAACGATGGGACAAGCGACAAGCGCGTGCGAGAATGGCGAGCAGGGGCAGCGGGGTCTTGGTCTGCTCAGCGAGATGTGCGAGGCGAGTGTGGAGCCGAATGTCATCGGCTACAATGCTGAGATAAGCGCGCTCGAAAAGGGTGTGCAGTTGCAGCGGGCCTTGTTGTTGCTCAGCGAAATATGGGAGGCGACGGTGGAGCCTGATGTCATTAGTTAGCTACAGTGCTCGGGTCAGCGCTTGCGAGAAAGGCGAGCAGTGGCAGCGGGATGTGTGAGTGCTCAGCGTGAGACCGGTGGTGAAGTTGGACACCAACGTCATTAGCTACAGTGCGGGGATCGGCGCCTGCAGGAAAGGCGGGCAGTGGCAGCGGGCTGTGTGTCCAGTAAGCGAGATGTTGGAGGTGATGCTGGAGCCCAGCGTCGTCTCTTCTGCACCGCCAGAACCTCTGCGCACAAGAAGGTACAGTCAACCCGTATAGCAAGGATGCGCGATAAGGATGCAAGGGCCCTGGACGCCCATTTCGAAGCTTTTCGAGCGGGGCGCGGCCGACGAAAGTGGCGAAGGATGGACCGAGGAGGCAAGGATGCAAGGGCACCCTTGGGAAAGTTGCCCATCCTCACTCTGAGGGTTGACGGTATCGTGCACCAATCGCCCCCCTCTCCAACCGAGAGTCCCCGTGAGGCCAGAAAGCGCCCCCGGGCCAGCTCCGACAGCCCTTGGGAAAGTTGCCCATCCTCACTCTGAGGGGTAACGGTATCGTGCACCAATCGCCCCCCTCTCTCCCACCGAGAGTCCCCGTGAGGCCGGAAAGCGCCCCCGGGCCAGCTCCGACAGCCCTGCGGGCCTCGGGTCACGCCCCCCACACGGCCCAGCGGCGCCCAGAGACGGCCGAAGAGGCGACCAAGACGGCCTCAACGGCCCGGGAGGCCTCCCAGACTGCCGCAGGAAATCCCAAGCGGCTCCCCAAGAGGGCCCAGAGAAGCCAAAATCATGGAGTTCCTACGGGTGGTTTGAAAGATCTCGGCGTTCTCGCCTTTTCGGGTTTCCGAGGCAACATGCTGGCCCATCAGGCCCAAAATAGGTATCGCCCCAAGGCGGCCCAACAGGCCCGCAAGAGGGCCCATGGGCAGCTCAAGAGGGCCTTAAGGCTGCCCACGGGGGAACCACGACGGCCCATGACCGCCCCCAGGGGGACCCAAGAGGGCCCCAAGAGGGGGATCTGGCCAGCAGACCCCAAAGAAGCCTCCTAGAAGCTCCGGGAGGCCCGCACGAGGCCCAAATCAGGCCCAAGCGGGCCCCGAGAAGCCCAAGACACCCAGCAAACAGCCTCACAGAGGCTTCCGAGGGAAGATGCCTTAGGAAGCTATGGGACCGCGGCGGCCACCCAAGACCCATCGGCGACCCAAGAGGAGACCAGATGTTTGGCCACACGCGCGCCGAGGCAATGGAGAAATTCGTGCGCTGCCGTACTGGCCTTTTCTCATGCATCCCTTGTCGTTCCTTGCTCCACGCTCCTCGCTCCCCCCTGGTGTCTCTCGTTCCTAGCTCCTCTCTTCTCACTCCTCCTCGTTCCTTCCACCTCTCCCATGGCCCTCCGCTTCTCCCTTCTTGCTACTGGCGTCTACCTCCCTCCTTGCCTCTCTCTACTCGGCCGTCGCTCCTCCCTTCTCGCTCCGTGCTCCTCCTCGCTTCCCCTACCCGCCTGGACCCTGACTTCTCGTTTCTTGCTCCTCGCTCCTCGCTCTGCTCACGAGCAGAAGGTTGCGTTATCTAGCAAGGGTACCAAGAACCAGCACTCTGTCGCCTCAAGCAGCAATTGCGAACAGCAGCAGTCCGCAGCAGGCAACGGCAGCACAGCAAAAGTGAGCAGCAGCAGCAGCAGCAGCAGCCACAGCAGCAGCACTAGCAACATGCCGCAGTCAGCAGCACCTTGCAGCTGCAGGCAACAACAGCAGTGGCGAAGTTCGGGCCCAGCGACATCACGAAAGCCATGCGGACACATGTCTGCCCTGGTCCAACGTGCACAACGTGCAGTCTCGGACAGATGTCGCGACCGGCAGGCCACGGGTCAGCCCTAGTAATCTACAGCGCTGGGGCCAGCGCGTGCGAGGAGGGCTGGCAGCAGGCTCTGGCGCTGCTCAGCGCGATGTGGGGAGCGGGACCAGGAGCACACCGTTACCAGTTCCGGCGTCGGGGTCAGCGCCCGAGGGAAGCCGACGTTGCCAGATGATCGGGGACGATGCCGTGGCAGCCTGGGCCGTGACCTGGGGCCTCCAGAGCGCCAACGCCGCTGGCACCCAGGTGCGGCTCGCGCGCACGGGAACGCGCGGAGGCGTGCCCCCATCCAGGAGAAGAAGGGGAAAGGGCAAGAGGAGCAGGTTCGATCTGGTCCGCCTCTCGAAGGCGCGGGTCGCTGCTCACAGCTGCCGGGCGGGTGCCACTCCCAAGGGAAGCGAAAACCGAGGAGGAGGAGGAGGAGGAGGAGGACGACGAGGAGAAGGAGGAGGAGGAGGAGGAGGAGGAGGAGGAGGAGGAGGAGGAGGAGGAGGAGGGGGAGGGGGAGGGGGAAGAGCAGGAGGGAGAGGAGGAAGAGGAGGAAGAGGAGGAAGAGGAGGAGGAGGAAGAGGAGGAGGAAGAGGAGGAGGAAGAGGACGAGGAGGCAGAAGAGGAGGAGAGGCAGGAGGAAGAGGAGGACCACGACGTGGAGCGAGGAGGAGCGACAAGGGGCGGCAGAACAAGCGACGACGGGAACGAATCGATAAGTCGGATCGGCGATCGACTTAAATCGGATCGGCGGAAATCGGCAGCCGAGTCGGGAAAAGTCGGATCGGCGGAAAGCGGCCGCCTAGTAGACCTCCATTGAGAAATCGGAGCCCAGATCGGAATCCGAAGCCGAACCGAATCGGAATCGGAAGCCATCAAAACCGACTCGAATCGGATCGGAGGAATCGAAGTGAGCCCCGAAGGGGCGAGAAGGACGAAGAGAAACGACGAGGCGGCGCCAGAGGCGCCCCGCCCGGCGCTGCGGAGGCAGAGGAGGAGGGGTCAGGAGGAAGAGGAGGAGGACCACGACGAGGAGCGAGGAGGAGCGACCAGGGCGACAGAGGAAGCGACGACGGGAAGGGTCGAGGAGGAAGAGGAAGAGGAGGAGAAGGAGGAGGAGGAGGCAGTAGGGGAGGAGGGGCTGGGAGGAGGAGGAGGAGGAGGAGGAGGAGGAGGAGGAGGAGGAGGAGAAGGAGAAGGACGAGGACCACGACGAGGAGCGAGGAGGAGCGACGAGGGGCGGCAGGGGAAGCGACGACGAGACGAGGCGGCGCCGACGGGCCCCCGCCCGGCGCCGAGGGCGGGGCCCCCTCGACGTAGTCCTCCGTGATGGTGCCGGGCGGCTCCTGGTCGGCCGCTGCCAGGGGCGAAGAGGAGCGGGTCCAGGAGATAGCGAGCGAGGGGCGCGGGGCGAGAGGCGAGGGGCAGGATGAGGAGGAGGGGGGAGGAGGAGGAGGAGGAGGAGGAGGAGGAGGAGGAGGAGGAGGAGGAGGAGGAGGAGGAGGAGGAGGAGGAGGAGGAGGAGGAGAAGGAGGAGGAGGAAGGAGGGAGGAGGAGGGAGGGGAGGAGGAGGAGGGAGGAGGAGGAGGAGGAGGGAGGGGAGGAGGAGGAGGAGGAGGCAGAAGGAAGGAGGAGGAGGAGGAGGAGAAGGAAGGAGGAAGGAGGAAGAGGAAGAGGATGAACAAAGGAAGGAGAAGAGGATGAGGAGCAGGAGGAGGAAGGGGGAGGAAGGAGGAGGAGGAGGAGCAGGATGAGGAGGAGGAGGAGGAGGAGAAGGGAGGAGGATGAGGAGGAGGAGGAGGAGGTGGAGGACGAGGAGGAGGAGGAGGAGGAGGAGGAGGAGGAGGAGGGAAGGAGGAGGAGGAGGTTGAGGAGCAGGAGAAGGAGGAGAAGGATGGAAGGAGGAGGAGGAGGAGGAGGAGGAGAAGAATAGGAGGATAATCGGAGGAGAACAGGAGGAGGGGTGGGGAGGGGAAGGATCGCGAGCCAACGGCCAAGCCCCTCTGCCAGAGGTCTGGCGGTGTGAGTTGTCGATCCACGGACCCAGCGTTTCGTCCCAGATCAAGGTTTCGTCCGGGGCTTCACGACCTCCTCTGTTCCTCTGCTCGATCTTCCACGGATTGCCATTGTTTACCTTGATGTGTCAGCACGTGCTTGGACAAGTCTGTATTGGATCAGTTCTGGCTGGATCGATGTGCATCGGTGTGCCATGCTGCATCCCCGCAGGTCGACTGGAGAAAACTCAGCGCAAGGATTCAGAGCGAATCCTTCGGAGGTCTTTTGGCATCCCTCCCCCCCTGCTATGGCTCGATCTTTGACGTCGGCAGGGAGGATCCTGGACGACGGGAGTCGGCGGGGAGGAGGCGGAGAGAATAATAAGGAGAAGAAGTAGGGGGGGAGGAGAGGGGGATGGGGGGGATGAGGGGAAGTGGGGGAGAAGAAGCGAAGGGATGGGAGGAGGAGGAGGAAGCGCAGGGGGAGGAGATGAGTGATGAGGGCGAGGGGGAGGAGAAGAAGCGACCGAAGGGAAAAGGGCGAGGAGGAGAGGGGGCCGGGAGGGGTAGGGATGGAGAAGAGTGACAAGCGAGGTGCGCTGGCGCCACATCTGACATCCTATCCCTCACATCCCTTTCCGTTGAGCGATTGTTGTCTTTATCCGCGGACGCGTGTCATGGCGGACCTGGAACTCCAACAACAAAAGACCATCGTGTTATGCGCAATCGGAAATGGGGAGCTGCGTACATAGGAGGAGGCGGCGGGTGCGCAGGAGGATGAGCAGGACGATGAGCAGGAGGATCGGAGGATGTGAAAGGACGAGGGCGAGAACGAACAGCAGCAGCAACGGCAGCAACAGGAGCTGGAGTGGAAGGAGCGGGAGA